ACATAAATACATACATACATACATACATACATACATACATATATGCATATATACATACATATATACATATACATACATACATACATACATACATTCATACATACATACATACATATATATATATATATATATACATACACACACACACACACACACACACACACACACACACACACACACACACACACATATATATATATATATATATATATATATATATGTTTATATATATATTTATATATATTGGCATATATGTTAGCATATATATTGGTATACGCATCGGCGGTATATCCCTATCAAATTAAATAGCTTGTTTTGCAATGGTACTGCGGCGGGTACCCTAGTCCCCACCCTGGTGCTGTATTATCGAATATATGCAGTGCATTAAATACCAATTATTTCAGTTTCGGAGGTGGTATAGGACGAAGGTAAAATGTGTTGATTTTCGTGATACATGAACAATCGTACCTGCAATCAAGCGATTCTAAGTTCCACTGTTGTTTTGAGGGACTTGCAGTCATCATTATGATCGCCACGGGCTTTCTTGTTGAGTGTTGCTAGTGATCTTCATCACGATTTTCTTGGTGTAGTTGATACCGATAACGAACTCTCTACAACAGGGTAGTTGCCAACCTTCCATTCTTCAATATCTTATGGTTTTATCGAAAATATTGTCAGTATATCCCTGTCGTCAAATATATGGTCAGATTGAAGAAAACAGAACTGCGATGGTGCTGGCACATAAGAGTCGTATATGTATAATACGATAAGGGCTGGTATAGAAATTATAATTTTACACGCACATCGGAACACGTGTTTCGATGAATAATTGAATGCACTCCCTCGACAACCGTTTTCAAAGCGGTTGAAGTTATCGGCAAAATCTATATATTTTGAACGAGTTGCCGGTAACGGTTATACAGAATAACATGACACACACGGGCCCTACACACGCTATATATACTATTCGCATAGAAGCACTTTCACCGTTTGCTACATACGCGCGTGCACTCAGCTATGATGGAATCATCAATACACGGGATAACTTGGTATCACACAGCATAGGTAGTTGTTATCGAATATTGGTATGAAGTCACGCGCTGCTTACTATCAACCATGGAAACAACTGAAACTAAAACGGGACAAGACAACAACGCACTATATCAACAACGGTTCGAGATATTTATTTAGCTATATTTGGCCATGAGTTGTGGCTGCGAATTTACTTCTGGAGGAATACACGATGATGCGTAGTCTCTTTGCCCTTATACTTCAAAACGGTGATCCAGTGGAAATCACCGCCCTCAATGTAACGATCCTCGTCCCATTCGTATCCCAGGTGCTTACCAGTTGACGTAGCATGGGAATACATGTGTCCATTGCTGGCGTTGTACTTGCAAGCCTTCCCGACGTCGACACCGAAAGCATCATCGTAGTATGGCACGTAGCTCTTGAACTGGTTATCCATACCGACCTCAAGCTTAACATGCTTGTTCACAAAGGTTGTGTACTGCTTTTCAATGATGAAAACCTTGCCGTTCTCGGCAAGGGGCACAACTTCGAAGTCCATAGCTAGCGAGGTAAGCAATTTTCTCTTGATCAAGCCGGTTCCTCCATGAGCCAACATCTCAGACACACCATCGCAGGTGGACATGTCTAATGAGCGACGTCCCTCAAATGGCTTAAGTGCGGTGATGTCAGCCATATTATTATTCCTCGATAGGATGTTCTCTTGTCTAATAATGAATATATGCTAATGCTGGAACCGAGACCTATTGTTCTATATCCAATTTTTTAAATGAGCGGTGTATAGGTGCCTCTCTCTGTCCCACATGCCCAGTCCAAACGAAAATGATTGCACTGATTTTCTATTTTTTTTATCGCTACTCTTTGCCTTTATTGCCATATTTGGATATGGTTGCAGTGTAAGTTGTAATTCATTGATACATACCACTAAAATAGATTGGTCCAGATCGCCCAGCCTCTCGTTTGACCGATCTACATTTTTTTATTTATAATATTGTAATTTTGTACTAGAAGTACGAGATGCGGACCGGGACATATGGTCTCTATTTTTTTTGCACAAAACAAATCACTGTCTCTCGCAAACTCTGGTCTGTACTATTAATAACTAAATACTCCCTCTGTTGTACATATAGTAGAATGAGAGAGAATGTGTAACTGTGTGTTCACTGTGTTCCCTTCTCTCTCTCCAGCAGAGGCGACGAGTAATAGAGAGAGAGAGAGAGAGAGAGGAGGAGTC